TTAGTAAGGGGGTATGTAATCAACAAACATATAATTATCACAATGTTATTTTTTTAATAAACACAAAATATAATCAACAATAAAATAAATATAACATTCTCAACTATGCATGGCATTGTTATTTTTTAAATTAACACAAAATATAATCATCAAATATTATATCCTCGTTTATGCATGGCATTTTTTTTTATTAGTACAAATTATAATAAATTAATCAACAAATNGTGCGGCTTGTCGGCATTTGTCGGCGCGTGCGCTATGATTTAATTCAGTTTTTGACTAGCTTTCTTGTGAAGGTGTTGTTGAAGGTGCGTTTTGTAGTGCTCGTGAAGTGAACTATGACGCACAGGTGCACAAATGCAAATAATTTTACTAAGACGCGTCTTAAAAATCATGGCCTTTGCTGGTTGATTTTTCGATGGTATCGTGAATCCATTTTACTGTGATCAACATAAGATAATAAGGATAGACAACGATATGAGAGTAGGCCTGCAACATTGAAGTGATAGCTCGCCCAATCAGTTGATCAGCTAATCGGCTATCAGCTGTGACGACTGCTGTGAGGCCTGTGAGTTGTTATGACGTGAGTTTAAACAAAAAAAAAGTGTGCAGTGGTAGTGATCGTTGTGTGTGTTGTGTCTCGTGTTCCTGTGCAGAATGAATACACTACAGCTTTGTTGTGTGAGTAAACGTTACAGCATGTTCCATTATGTAAGACGCAATGAATTTTTATTTTTGCCAGAAAATGTAACTTTGTAAAATCATTATAAAACACATAGTGAACGAAATACGTCACCGACACTACGAGAGATTAATTGATTGAAAGGCTTTTTGGTGTAAAAATAAAATTATATTGTAAAATAAAATCAAGTTACATGTTTAGTTCGAAGTAGAAAAGTAAAGAAGAGAAAAAAGTGACAATCGTTAAGAAACATAAAAAATAAAAAGAAGTTTCTCGCCGGCCAGGCGCGCGGCCAAGGAGTTTGGTCACACATTTGCGACCTCTACCATTTTTTCCTAGGCCGTCATTAGACAGACCTGTACATTCCGCCCGCCAAAGGACATTATTGCAGAATGTCCTTTAGTTATTTTTTAAAAAACAAGAAACAAACAAAATCTCTTCCTTAGAGGTAACACAACATTAAACTATACATTATAAAGTTAAAAGAAATGTCCTTGCCTACAGCTAGGCATTGTAGCAAGAATACTACAAATATTTACATTAACACACATTATAACACATAGAAAAATTTAACAATTTTAACAAACACAATAGGTTTACCGAATACATTTTATAATTATTTACAAGGTTTACATAAACAGTATTCCCGCTTACACATTGAGGTAAGTGTTTTATTCCTTGCATGTGAATGCATTACCGCAATGTTGGTAAATGACTTGGTTTTGGATGGACAGTTTGTATTTACGACGCCTGAAAATATCCAACCTAACGTCGTATCCTGAGCTAATACACACCTATCTGCACTACGTTTTATACCTGCTCGTGTGACCTGGCTGTATACCTCAGCGCCTAACAAGACGTCAATTTTGTGAGGTTTGTAATACTCAGGATCGGCAAGGTCCTGTGGTAACAAGTAGATCGAATCTACTGGACGTGCCTCTACCGAAGGAAGGACAGATGTAATGGATTTCAGGACGAACGCGTTAACCTGCATGCTGAATGTTGCGTCCAACCTTGACTTTATGTTTAAAGTCACAGTGGATTTTGATATACTACTATCCCCGCCTACACCTGTCACAGCGTGTTCGTTAGGTTTTTCTTTCAGCCCTAAGTACTGTACCATCGCTTTTGTTATAAAAGATCCTTGCGAACCCTGGTCTAGTAAGGCTCGCATACCGTGGTGTGTACCATTTTCCGACTCGGCTTCAACCAAGGCAGTTGGTAATAAAACCGTTTCATTACAGTTTCCTGTCGACGAAAATGATACAACCTTTTTGTTAGGCTTTCCTACTTCTGTGCCTGAACTAGCTTTAGTCCTACTTTCCGCCCGCATGGCAGAATCTACGCCCTTCGCCGATTTATCTCCCGTAGATTTCGATAACCCGCTAGGATGTAACAACGTATGATGACGTTTCTTACAAATATGACATTTGAAGTTGGTTTTACAAGCCTTGGCAGTGTGATTGTTGTACAAACAAATATAGCACAACCCTTTTTCCCGAGCAACACACCGACGAATTTCATTAGTTTCGTGAGCAAACTTTTTACAATTCACAATCTTATGCCTATCTTTACAATATGTACAAATTATATTTACATTTCGTGAATGAAAAGATTGTGAGCTTTTACATGTAACCCTTTCAGAACTAGTCCTTTCATTCAAGTTTTCTAAGCCTCTAAATCGTGCAGTTAAAAATTGAGCAAACTGTTCGTAGGTCGGCAGTTCATCAGACCCGTCCGATGAAATGTTTAGCTCCCATGCCTTCCTAGTCTCCTTGTCAAGTTTCCCACTGATTAGGTGAATGATAAAAATGTCCCATGAGGAGACATCCACACCTAAGTTCTTAATAGAATCTAAACAATCAGAAGTAGTACTTAACAGATGTTTGATACCCTGAGACGATTCTGTGTTTAAGGTTTTTTGAGAAAACAATCGGTTTAACATATTATTGACTAAATACCTTTTGTTATTGTACATAAGCTCGAGTTTTTCCCAGCAACTTATGTAATTTTCAGCTGTAACTGAAATGTTATTTAAAAGTTGTGCAGCATCTCCTACTAAATAAGCTTTTAAATAATACAACTTTTGTGCTGCATCTAACGACTGATTGTTGTGGACTAGTCCTATAAAAAGCTCTCTAAAAGTTTGCCATTCTATGTAGTTTCCTGAAAAAGTTGGAATTTTAATTTCAGGCAACTTAAACTGAGTTGAGTGTTGAGCTGGCTCTATATGTGACTCTAAAATAGGCAGTGAATGAAACTTATTTAACTTATCCTTGATGTGAGACTTGTACTCCATATAAAGCTCCTCAACATCATCAAACACACTTTCCCTATAATAATCAGATTCCTGCCATTCATCATCATCAATCGTGCTTACTATTTCCTGTTGTGTTTTGAAAAAGACTCCCCAATGTTGCTCTAATGACTCTAGCCTGGTCTCAAGATAAGCTTGAGTCAGTCTATCTTTTGGAGACTTTTTGAAGTTCGTGAATGCCCTTACAATTGCTGCCTTAGTGGCCTCCTGGAGCTTTACTAGCGGCTCCATAGTTTACAAATCTATTTACAAATACACACAGCAAAAAATATACAGAACTACACAAAAAAGTAACAGAATATACAATTAGTTTAAAATTACGAGTAAATATGAGAATTTGAAAAGTTACTAATGTTAATGTCCCAAAGTTACGTTATCTTCTTTTTGTTTCGTTTCAATAAGTAAGGTTTAAAGTACTCACGATTTCACACTTCACAACACACACTATGACGATGATACGTGCACCAGCTCCGACTTCTCACACTCACGCTCGTCGTGCTCCTTCTATGTAGCGCTCCCTAGCGCTCCTCGGTTGCCGCCAACCGCTGCCAAAGACTCTCTGCTCCTCCCGTACTGCTTATCCAGTCTTTACCAAAGACCGGATCCTTCCGCTGCCGTGTAGTCACCGCTGACACCACTGCATGGACCCCAAGATAGCACCTTTGCTATCCGGTAATTTTGTACGGGCGGTACTCCGCAGTATGGACTACCGTAAATTTCCTACCATCTTCAAAGCCAATCCGACTCGTAGGACCATGAACGAAATACGTCACCGACACTACGAGAGATTAATTGATTGAAAGGCTTTTTGGTGTAAAAATAAAATTATATTGTAAAATAAAATCAAGTTACATGTTTAGTTCGAAGTAGAAAAGTAAAGAAGAGAAAAAAGTGACAATCGTTAAGAAACATAAAAAATAAAAAGAAGTTTCTCGCCGGCCAGGCGCGCGGCCAAGGAGTTTGGTCACACATTTGCGACCTCTACCATTTTTTCCTAGGCCGTCATTAGACAGACCTGTACACATAGGCTACTGAAAATTTGGTGAACTTGTTCAGTGTACCATATAGATGCCCCCATTAAACAGAATGTAGCTAGTTTAGAAGGACCCTGTATAGCCTACATTCAGGCACCATCAGTTACATATTCATACAAATGAAAGGAAAATCTAATAAGATAGTAAATTAGTTTCATAAGTAGCCATTTTAATTAATAATATTTAAATCTAGCTAAGTTGTACCTACTCTAGGTGGCCATCGTCAACAATAACATTGCATTGTCATCGTACTTACATAAGTATACCATACAGCTTAATCGGTTCGTTAGTGATCTGATTACAAAAACTATTGCTTTGGGTTCTGGAAGTTCTGGAAGCCCGAACGTACTTGTCAGAACGCGTTTTTCAGCGTGCCTGCTGTATCTTTTTGATAAATAGTAGGTACTGGATTAACGATTAACGGACTTAGGATACTTTAACGGAAGTTAACGAGTCCGTTAACAATTTTTAAAGTTAACTTAAAAGTTAATCCGTTAATAGAAATGTTAACTTCGTTAATTAACGATTAACGGATTAACGAGTTAATGCCCAGCTATGGTCTTAGGGATTTTTAAGCTGGACGTCAGTCATGCGTTTGGAAGACCACATACACTTTTGGTAATTGTCAAAATCAAAAATATTTATTCAATTTAGACCCAATGGCACTTAAGAACGTCAAAATATAGTAAACAAAAAAAGGTAGCCCTTATGGGACACTTTACATATCTCCTTATCTTTTGGGCCCTACCAGCGCTTCGAGACAAACATATGGCAAATGCTGAGAAGAATTATCTAACGGTAAGAATAACCAAATTCAAGTACCTACATCAAATATGTGCCACTTTTATTCAAACGCAGTTGTCATATTTTTTCTATGTGGGGTCTTGTGAACGGACGACTGACGTAAAGCTCAAAATGTCAAAAGAGCTCTGAATGATTGTGGTGATAAATCTTTCTGTACCTACAGGCGTGCTCCGGGAACTAGTACTAATCGGCGGCGCGGCAGCGTTAGGCGCGTTGGTCCCGCTAGCAGCAGCAGCGCGCGGCGAGCAGCGCGCTCGCTCGCACCTGCACGTGTGCGCGCGCCCGCACCCCCCGCCGCACACCCCTCACGCGCCTCACACGCCGCAGCCGCCGCCCAGCGCCGCTGCGTACCGGCCGTATCACAAGTTTATAGGTACGTGTGTTATTGTATACTAGCTTTTGCCCGCGGTGCGGTACGGGTGAAGACCCGTGTGAAATTTAGTTTGTCACAGATCGTCATAATGGGTTGTTATTCTGGGTTATAAACAATAATACTGTTAAGATTCATCAAAATCCGTCAGTAGTTTTTGCGTGAAAGAGTAACAAACATGTCGACATCCAGACATCCATACAAACTTTCGCATTTATACTATTAGTAAGAATTAGGCTCACCATAAATTCATTGGTATGAGTAAATCCCATGGCCATTTTTCCCTTAAAATATAACAGCAGACCGGAAAACGTAGCGTGGGCAGACCTCCCAGTCCTACTAGGTGGACCGAAGATCTGGTGAAGGTCGCGGGAAGAACCTGGTTGCGGGCACCGCAGGATCGGTCGTTATGGAAGTCCTCGGGGGAGGCCTTTTTTTATTTTATTTTATTTTATTTTATTCGGAAAACCAACAGCAATACAATACAAATAATGGGACCTTCAATTATTATGTATCTGCTTTGTTCAACAGTGGACGTCATTTGGCTAAAATGAACGAACGATAACTTTTCAGAACCCCAAAGGCGCTAACTACGGTCCGGAGTAGTCTTTGAACTATTTTTGTGGTAGTTTAAACACTAGATCCATTGAATCGAGCATTATTTTTTGAATTGCGTTCTATAATCTGAAATTGAAATCTGAACTCAGGAGGATTTGATGAGTGCTACTGACAACGCCACTCTTGTGGCGGAGTTTTGGGCTGACACTGTGTAGGTTTGTTGTCGACACGAAAAGAAGATCTGAAATTAATTTTTAACCAACTTCAAAAATAAGGAGGTTTTCATATCGGTTTTTTTTTGTTCTCCAGACACATGCTGCCGAGTGGCGCGGACGCAGCGCTGCATGTCGGAGCAGCTGGTGCTGCTGTCGGCGCTGTGCGCGCTGGAGACCGTCCCGCTCCGCTTCAACTACTTCGCCAGCTTCTGGCGGGACGTGGCCGCCTCGCCGGTGAGTCAGGCAAGCTACACTCAGGGAGCAGCTGGTGCTGCTGTCGGCGCTGTGCGCGCTGGAGACCGTCCCGCTCCGCTTCAACTACTTCGCCAGCTTCTGGCGGGACGTGGCCGCCTCGCCGGTGAGTCTAATCGACTAAGCCTATACATTTTGACGTCTAAAATCATCAATTAGATTTTTTATTATGGCGCGCATCCTAGCCAGGTAGATGATTTGATTATTTACGCTAAAGTCCTGTCGCCGACACATAGAATTTCGTCCAATGACCCCCAATCTACCCATCCTTATCGCTCGCGCGTAATTATATTGCTGTCGCGACTGTACGACGGGCGGCCGTGAGTGTGCGAGCGCGATACCTCCTACCACCGCTGCCTGCGGGGACTGTCACGTTGTTGATTGTCGAATTGAGCCTTCTCCGTTAAGTGTTCGACGAGACGAAACGCTATTATGCGCTCAATGACAAACCAAGAACTTGTTTTGATGTTCGCATAATAAATATCTAGCCAGCGTGCGGAGTGTAATCATCGTGTTTCTGGTAAAATAAAAGAGGACAGGTCGCTTCCTGCAATGAAGATTAAATGACTTGATGATGATGATAAAAGGCACAACATTGCTTGTATACCGTAAGCAGGGCCTGTGACATTTGTAAATTTTCTTCACTGCGATTTAATTAGATTATCTTTCCATTAAATATACTTGGAACAAATATCAGTTTACCAATAACATGGATTGTCCTGCGCAGGCGGACGCGAAGCTGGAGGAGATGCTACTGGAGTGCAGCGTGGTGTCCGAGTACATGGACGCCATCATGCTGGACGAGCGGGACTCCCTCGAGGACACCGCCATCTACCAGTTTATGCTGCACTATTATCCTAAGGTAAGATTTTAAGAGTAAAAAAAAATATGTTTATTTTTTTCGTTTGGTGTCTTGATCAATATTATCATCATATAGCAGCATCTTAAAGCTAAACTAACCTCCTTATCGACTGCTGATCTAACCAAGTCAGAGCTGGATTAACCAAATCAGAGCCCTTACGTAATATCCTCGTGGTTCCTTTTCAACCTCGATCGCGAGACCCTGTTTACACGTGCTGGGCCTCTAACTGATGTGGGGCCCTTAAGCTTAGATATTTGCTAATTTTACATAATGGGTTAATCCAGGCCTGCAAATGGCCATTGAATCAAGATTCGTACACCGACACCGTTGGCCTATTAGCGTATAAGAGTAGGCGCACACCGTTGATTTTTCGTCGGCCGATAGTTTAGTCGGGCAGTTGATCAGTATGGGCATATATGGGAGTGCGCACACTACGCCGATTCGATTTGGCCGAGTCTTCAAACAAATTGGGCACAACTATCGGCCAACTAAAAATCAACAGTGTGCGCCTACTCTAATTACTACTGCCCGGTTTCACATTTGAGATTTCCAGCTCAGAAATCGAGCTTTTGTTTTATGCTGTTCATTGTCTGTAGGTGAACGGTCCCCCCGCGGCCGGGGCGGGCGGCACGCCTCCAGACCCCGCAGCAGACGCGTGGAACGGCGGCGCAGCACTAGCGGAGGAGCTCGCCGCGCGCTGCAGCGGCCCGCTGCGAGGCCTGGCGGGCTGCGCGCGCGCGCTCGTCGTGCTGGCCGCGCGCCGCCCGCAGCCGGCCCTGGCCCGCGCGCTGAGGACCGCGGCGCTCACGCTGCAGCAGCGACTGCATACTGATACAGGTCAGTGACTATACAACAATGTCAACAATACAGTACACCGTAGCGTTTCGGTAAATTAGAATAGGACCACTCTACTTTGACCCGTGCGCAATCGTCGAATCCCCCGCAGCCGACGCTGGCCCGCGCGCTGAGGACCGCGGCGCTCACGCTGCAGCAGCGACTGCATACTGATACTGGTCAGTGACGAACACAATACGCTGTATAGTTTTGGAAAATTAAAATAGGTCCCCTTAGTACTTTACTCGTCAGTAGCTAACACAACAACACAATACGCTCTATGGTTCAGTAAATAAGAATAGAGCCACTCTCTACTTTGACCCGCGCGCGCTCGTCGTGCTGGCCGCGCGGCGCCCGCAGCCGGCCCTGGCCCGGGCGCTGAGAACCGCTGCGCTCACGCTGCAGCAGCGACTGCATACTGATACTGGTCAGTGACTAACACAACATAACACTACGCCGTTTTAGCAAATTAGAATATTACCCGCTTGTACTCGTCGTGCTGTCGCGCGCTGCGAACTGCTACGCTGACATTGCTACCAGCGACTGCACGCTGGCACCGGTCAGTGACTTACACAGTACGTGCGTGCGTGCGGGTATTTGATAAAATTCTTACATAAAGCAATTCATATATTCATTTCTGCTATAGTGGAGCAGTGCAAAAGAGAGGGTGTATTTTTCACAAAGATCACTGAGACTTAATATGTGCTTCACAACTATATCGTAACAACTCTGCAATTCTCATTACAACGTACCACAAACAAGCTATTTTAATTTATTTTAGTCTGAATAAAACTGTAAAAAAGCCGTATACATAGTACTATGCTTAATAAGATTATTTTTTGTAATCAATAAAAGACGATGACTGAAAGTAACTTCTATCATCAGCAGAAGAAGAGGCATCGGACGCAGAGGGCGTGGCGGAGACGGCGCGCGAGGCGGCGCGCTGCCACACGCCGTCGGGCTCCGAGCCCGACGAGCCGCCCGACGACCTGCCCGCCGACCTGGACGACGACCCCGACGACGAGCCGCCGCCCGCGCCGCCGCGCACCATAGGTACGGCTTGTTGCCTAGTCTATAAGGTTCACACTCCTGCCATATAGCTGCCACACGCCGTCGGGCTCCGAGCCCGACGAGCCGCCCGACGACCTGCCCGCCGACCTGGACGACGACCCCGACGACGAGCCGCCGCCCGCGCCGCCGCGCACCATAGGTACGGCTTGTTGCCTAGTCTATAAGGTTCACACTCCTGCCATATAGCTGCCACACGCCGTCGGGCGCCGCGCCCGACGNCGAGCCCGACGACCTGCCCGCCGACCTGGACGACGACCCCGACGACGAGCCGCCGCCCGCGCCGCCGCGCACCATAGGTACGGCTTGTTGTCTAGTCTATAAGGCTCACACTCCTGCGCATATAGCTGCCACACGCAGGCTCCCAGCCCGACGAGCCGCCCGACGACCTGCCCGCTGACCTCGACGACGACCCCGACGACGAGCAGCCGCCCGCGCCGCCGCGCACCATAGGTGCGGCTTGTTGTCTAGTCTATAAGGCTCACACTCCTGCCATATAGCTGCCACACGCCGTCGGGCTCCGAGCCCGACGAGCCGCCCGACGACCTGCCCGTCAACTTGGATGAAGACCGCCGCGCACCATAGGTAACACAGTGCCTTTGAACAGTAGAGTGCTGCGAAACCATGAGAGTGAAACGATTTCAATACACACTACTGCGTTCACTTCGCCACTTTGCTTCTGCACCTCTCTCAACCTCTGAACGTGCATCTAATAGTTCCACATGAGCATTGATTGTGACAGTAAAATTGACTCTTTTTCACAAATTTCTTGTAGGAAAATATTTTAAAAAACTTAAACGCAGATTTATGCATTCAAAAACTTCCTAGATATTTTCTCCCTGTTTAGATACAACTGCTAGTTTGAAATTAATACAAAGAGCTGAATAAATGTTGACCAAGACAAAATAGCAGAAGCCTTAAAAATATCATCTTTGCGATATTTTACCTCTGATGCTCGTTGGAGCTCTCATGACATGATCATTCTATCGCCCTAAAAAGACGTCGACTTTCTACTTGTACAGCTTGGCGTGCAGGCTATCTTATAGTGCATATTTAAGTTGCAATTTACTTTCACATAATCAAGCTGTTGTTTTTCGCAGATACTCGCGCGATTATAGCGCAGGCTGCGCAGGCGCTGCTGGCCGCCACGCGCCACGTCGCGCCCGACGCGTAGCGACGCCCGTACGTACTTCACAGTTCACTGACCTACCCACTGTATCACAGCTCTTCGTCATAGGCTCTTCGATGGAGAAAATTTACGGCAATATTCCGCAGATAAAATATCGCTTCGAGACCAAATTACACCAGCGGCAAATCTACATCATTCAGCTGCATTGACACAACCTTACTGCCATGTTGACGCTATATTAAAGGCGATATTGCTGAAAAATTTTGCTCGTTAGAAGTTTTGGGACCGGGGGATTTTTGAATTAATGATCCGATAGAAATAGTAAAAATTGTATTTCGATGATTTCTACTGATAATTATCCAAAAATCCACCAGCCTTAATAACTTGGTACAACTGTACTCTTGATATTAGAATGTGAATGAAACCTTAAGTTTATATTTGGATGAATGTGGTACTTTGTATAAATCAATAAGATAATACGAAACTTTTGGTGTATGTAGTTAAATTTATATTATAATTTTAATACAGTTTGAATAATGCAAAATTTAGTATCGTCAGTTATTGTGACACGATTTATAGCGCAATGGGAGCTATTATCTTTCTAGGGTGGCACCGCCAGTTGTAGTATTTGTTTTAACCAGTAAACATATGTAATGTAAAATCTAGTGATGCCGCCACTAAAAACGTAATTGCTCCCACAGTTAAACTGATTCAAGTATAGATAGCCTTGATCCGGCGTCTTTTTGACATCAAATGCCATTTACAAAATAAATTAATATATTTTTGTAACACGTTCATTGAGCATCAAAAATAATATACTACCATAAACCGATTGTATGACTACATACCTACATATTTTCCATATATTATTTTTCTAAAGTTATTTAGAAGCTATCTTGGTAAGATACATTCTGATACGTTATTTTTAACGCAAAAAAGACGCCGATTGAGGCTTCCGTATGCGTTATGTGGTGTAAGAATATCATGTATAATTCAATGCGGCGCTATAATACTGTCGGAAACGATGCGCTTGCAGTTCCCTTTATTACTTGTTTGAAGTGTGATCTACATTTGAGGCTACTTAGGGTCCTTTCGCTGTGGCCGGTGACTATATCGAAAAATAAAACCATTTGCTTCCAAATGCGTTGACATAATCGTTTTAATATTAACTGTTAGGCAATTTCAGTATTTTGAAGCAGATGGCTTCAAAACCGATATTTCACCTTATTGGTCTGACTGGCCCATCCATATGGCTTTTCAGCTCTTGGTCTGCCACAGAAAAAGAGACCCTCTGTACAATACTGATTAGTGTAAACTTTAATGGCGTATCCAAAAAAGATACACCATTAGAATCTCAGTATTGTTCGCCTCAACAAGATCGCCCTCATATTGCACAACTTACCTGAATTCTAAATATTATCGTTTGGAGTAGCTCAATATTACAATGAAACTATCTATTGTTCACATACCATGTTAGTTCGTATATGTATCTCTTAAGTCATTAATATATTGATATGTTAAAAAGTGCAAATGCTGAAGAAATGTTTAACTGATGTTTTCGTCGTTTAATAAATAAGTTTATTGTGTAAAAAATAGACTTAGTAGTTGTTGCTTAAGTTCTTAACGATAACGTAATGCGTTGCGTTTTTTGAGAATGTCTTTGTATCTCGCAATTCGGTTGAACGTAAATATACTGATTGCATAGTAATATGAATACATCGATGTTTAGCATACATTCCAAAAGTGAGCATCACACAGCGCTTTGGGCCAGGCTGCGTGCTACAAACGCGTACTTACATGATATTTTGAAGGAGACTGATCACAGCCATAGGCCTCGTGTAGGACTACCGAACAAACGTCAGGGGTCGTTTCGTACTATTTTGATACATGAACAGTGGCGGCCATAAGGTTTTATTTTGATATAAGCCGTAGATACTTACTTCAGGCAAATACTGCCTGATTGCATAATGCACCGCACGCCCCTGTCCATGAATACAAATTGTATCTTCTATTTGATATCAAATATTTTGAATTTTCCTTATGAGGAGTATAATTTTGGTTTAACACTTTATTGATGTGTTTGAAAGGCATCGATGCGACTGATAGGTTTTATGGAGAATGGATTAGGGAAAATTTTAGTTGATATTATTTACGGCTTTCTAATTAACAACTTTATGGTATAATAGCCCGTGTAAAGTGCGGACGACAAGCCGTTTCTTATTACGTATGTATTCATTCCTCTCACTCATAACGAGATGCTGGTATGAGTGACTGAAGCAAGTACACCCTTAAATACTGAATCGGAGTTACAAAGCAGCCCCGCCCTGAAGGTCTTATTATAGCATTTTCAATCAAATTATGCATGTAATCACTTACCATCAGGTGATCCGTCTGCTCGTTTGCCTCCTGTCACATAAAAAAAAACTTGACTCTATGAAAGCTATAAATAATATTAATTAATCTTTCACTAATATTGAGGGCGTAATTTTATATCGTTTTTTAATTTTATATAGTTAGTTGTAGACATTCTCATGTTCGTAGGAAGAGCAGTATGGTAGGAGTCCTGTTGCTATAAATACTGTTTGACTTTAGCATCACTATGTTTTAGCTTGTTTAAATGGATAACGTAATTTAATTTCTATTAACTCAATACAATAAAACTACAATTTACTCTCATGTATAATTTTACCATACTATTTGAATTACATATTTTATAGTGTATTATTTCCATCTCATTTGGATCAAAGAACCTCTTGCGTTACATAATAATAATGCTTAGATCTCTGATTATATTTTATACTGTGTACTGTTCGTAAGTGTAGTTTTCCGTAAGCATCTTACTTCTCCATCTCTCACATTTTGTTTTGTTTCCACTCTTGAGCTTTTATTTATAATGTTTGTAAAACTAAATAATGAGAGTACTAATTTCACTGTCATATTACGAGTACATTTTGGTAACAAAACAGAAACGCGAGCGATGATATTCACTATTGGAAATTTCGATCGGTAGCTACTTCTATCTATAAAATAATGAACTTACTAATCAGCCATTTTGTAAAGATTGATAGATGTAAAATGATTTGAAAAGATATGTAACCAAAAAGGTTTTGAAAATTGACAAGTTCTGATCCAGATTAGCAAAATAATCATGTTAATTTTTCATATTCTATATTTTAGGACATCATTTATTTGAACGAGAGTAAAAAATAATATTTTGATAGCAATTCCTCTACATGTTTTATTTATTTCTGTGAAAATGAATCTCCAGTTCAAATTCGGGCGTTATGTATTGTAGATAGTTCTGCATGCCTGGATCTATACACTTTAGTCGGTCCCGTGAAGTTTAGGATTGTGTTATTACTTCGATGAAATAATTTGGGCAAAATTATCTCATAAAAATAAAAATGTTTGAAATTTCCATTAAATTATCAGGTTTTATAACAAAACTATGTTATAATTTTATGCATTTATTAATATCAATATCGTTTAAAATTTAAACTAGAAATTATTTTTCGCTTCCAATTCACTTTTCGTTTTTTGGCTGTGAAGGGTTTGTTAGACTAAGATATGTGTAACCTTTTAGAAAAGAAATTCTATATTCTTACCGCTTACGATGTCCGAGGCCGAGCTTACGTATAACAACAAAACCATAAAGTTAGTCAAATTACCCGTCCAAGGCGCGTACTTTAAATTTGTCTGCGGATCGTGAAAAACATAGGCCAGTAAAATTATAGTCGAATCTTTGTAAATGTGTAATGTGAAATTAAAAATCTCGAACCTTTGACTTCTATTGGGTGTTCTTGAACCCGAAAGAAGTAGCAAAAACAAGTAATACATAATTCCCTCCCTGTAGTGGGCTGACCAACTCCATTTATCGGGCACAGCACTCTCTTCTTTGAATGTTTATGCTTCTAGTTACCCTGTAAAAACTTTTTTGATGTCGGTGTTAAATATTAAGTACTTACATGAATATTATAGTAATGAGGCGAATAATATTTAATTTAATAACACTGCCCAAATCACCAAGATTACTCTTTATTATAAGGCATAATATGTATGTCAGAAACGCGTAGAAAATTTAAACAAATTAAAATAAACAACGTATCGAATTACAGAATTTTGATGAAATATAAATTAATGTCCATTTTATAAATTTTATAGTAAATACTACGATTTGTATTTTCATCCATCAAAAATTGGTTAATGTTTTACTGCGTATTCGCATCGAGAGCGCGGGACGGGTGTGATAGTGCGGCCAACCACAATCGAGCTGGTGAGGCTTCGTAGACGCGGTAAAAAAAAGGGGTAGTTATGACAGAAATCAAATTATTATTTAGGATACATTCATATAGTCTACAAGGCAAGATTTTTTAGCTAAATATGTACATGTTTAATTATCACATAACTTGTATTTTTAACTGCTTGGTTTTGCGGTCGATATCGACATCACATTAACCACAAAGTGTTAGTTATCTATAATGATTTTTGAACTTTATTGCATTTACTATGAAGTGCAAAATCAATTAAGGAACGTTATTTTGTGGAAAATTGGTGTACTGTCGATGTACCCTACATCTAGAGAGCTACGCTTACGCTTCTAACGTGAAGAAAGTACGCACGCGACACCTGCGCCCGCGCTTTCCACGTGACTAGGCGCTTAGAGTTTAGATAAATAACAGAAGTGGTTATTATAATTTTATTCACTTATTAGATTTCTATAGTACGAGGGCGGCACTGAAAATTTCGGGAATCAAGGAAGTGAAACAACATTACTATTTAAAAATGTATTTATTGCTTTTTAAAGTATTCTCCGCGAAATTTGACACATTTTTCCATACACGAAACCAATCATTGAAGCAACCATTGCATTCGGAAGTTTGGGTCTCCAAAATGGCCGTTTTGTAGGCTTCCACAGCTTCTTCAGGTGATGAAAATCTCTGACCACGCAATTTATTCTTTATTTTAGGGAAAGTATAGAAATCATTAGGGCTTAGGTCAGGGCTGTACGGCGGATGGACTAATAATTCTATGTTTTCTTGCTCTAAAAACTCTTTTGTTCAGTGCGCGGTGTGAGAACTCGCATTGTCGTGATGGAGGATGATGCGGCGGTTGCAGTTCTCTTTACGGAGTTCAGAAACGACCTGTGGCAAACAAATGCTAGCATACTAATCTGCATTAACCGTTCTTTGTCCCCCAAGAGGAATAGTCGCAACATGGCCGGTTTTGGAGACAAACGTGGCCACCATTTTTTTTGCAACACTCCGTGAACGAACAATTTTTGTTGGCTTTAATTCATTTTCGAACACCCAAACTCGTGACTGGTTTTTTGTTTCGGGTTCGTACGCGTATATCCATGATTCGTCACCTGATACGATGTTGTATACAGCATTTGAGGATCCTGCATGTAATCTCCCGAGAGTTCTGACGCACCAAGTAACGCGAGCCGCTTTTTGCTCTTCACAGAGCGAATGCGGTATCCATCGGGAAAACAACTTTTTTACACCTAATTGTTCATGCAAGATTATTTGTATTTGACTCATGCCAATGTCTAAAGTTGCCTGAATTTCGCGGTATATCACATGTCGATCTTCTTCAATCAGCTTACGCACAGCATCAACGTTTTCTTAGGTGACTGCAGTTTTTGGACGACCTTGACGGGGATCATCACTGAGCTTGACACGTCCACGTTGAAATTCAGGAAACCAGCGATAAATTGTGGTTTTGGATGGGGCTTCATTACCAAATGCAGAAATCATCCGGTCAACACACTGTTTTTGTGTTAAACCACTTCAAAAGTCATAATAAATCATCGCTCTTGAATTTTCTCGAGTCAATTCCATTTTCTCAACGACTAAACAAGTTTGACAAGACCTTGTGATACGACCGAGAATCTTTTTTTAAATAAATAAATGGTATACGATTTTTAAAACCCTGGAGTTTGCAATTAAATAGATTTTAATATGACTGGAACAGTGGAAATATTCCATTCCCGATACTTTTAGTGCAGCCCTCGTATCTATAATGTAACTTTTCTCGAATAAGCATCATAGTTGTCAATAGCTGCCTATAAAAATAGAAACAAAAAGCAATAATGTTCAACGGAATACGAATTAATCAATATTGAAAACTCCAATTGTTCATAATAATTTGAATATACTTTATTCATTGTGTAATTGTTATTGACTTCTGTTATATTAATATGTATCGGTAGAATTCGTTGTGAGGAGAGACAGCAGTCACTGGAAAAAATGTAAAAGGGTTTTGAGGTAATATAATGTGGTGCTATCAATCAGATTCGAGTGGCTGGGAAATAAAATGTATTTAGTTTGTCCTGATTTTAGAGCTTATTAATATATATAATCTAATATAACTATGCTGTAATTATCTTTTTATTAATTTTAAGATTATTTTATGTTTCCACTAAAAGCGGCGCTAGATGACCGTTCGTAAGTGTCACAGTCTAGCGGTCATCACATTTCAACTTGGCTTGTATTAGGGGATACTCAACATGTGTATTATAATTACTTACATTTAATTTTACGACACTGAAATTTTACTTTCAGTCAAATATAACTGTGTTATTGAACATAATTTGTGAAAATTAATGAAAATACTGTAAATCGGACTGGTAAGCCAAAGTAAACAGTATTTTATAATTTACGTGTTTTATTTCATTAGAAACCCTTTAGTAAATTACATCTAGTATGCACAGAAGACAGCACATCCAGATATTCACTGTAAGATCTTATGTAGTTGTAATAGAGACTATTTTGCAATGAAAATGTATCTTATCTTATCTTATTTTTGGGCCGCGCATGGGCGCAGTGCACGTCGACCCATTGGGATCTTTTGTGCTTCCCTATACCTTTATCCCCCCTCATCCACAAAGATCCTATCCATATAGTGGATCAAGTGCTTGGGTGAGAAGGACCTATATTCTTCTGGCGTCGGATAAGCCGACCCCAGGAGACCCATTCTAGTTCTAGCTAGCGCGTCACATTCGCAGAGTAGGTGTTTCATGGACTCCGCATGTTCTCCACATGCTCGACAGCTGTCATCCGTAGTTAGGCCCATTTTGTGGAGCATGTGGTTTGTAGTGTAGTGTCCTGTTAGCGCACCCGTGATCACTCGGGCTTGCCTTCTGTTTCCATTGAGTATGAGCTTTTCCCATGATCTTGTGTTTCCAACTAGGAATAGTTTGGAGTGGCTCATGCCGTTGGAGCTTTCCCATTCAGCTCTGTGCTTCCTGGATGTATATTGCCTCATGGCCATGTGTACAGTGCTTATAGATAAGGGCACTATCGGCTCTGGCCCAATAGGTGCCGCCTCTGACCCTTGTCTCGCTAGACTGTCGGCTCTCTCATTGCCTTCGATTCCAGTATGTCCAGGTACCCACATGAGGGTCACCCTGTTGTGCCTTCCAAGTTTATTCAGTGCCAAGATTGCCTCCAAAACGAGTCTGGATCCAACCCTCACTGAGGCAATGGCTTTGAGTGCTGCCTGACTGTCACTTAATATGTAAATGTCACGCTTTTTATGCGCCTGTTCTATATTCCTTACTGCGCACATGATTATAGCATAGGTTTCAGCTTGAAACACTGTTGCAAACCTCCCTAAGCTTTCACTGTGCTCAGATTGTTTGGAGTAGACGCCCGCTCCTGTTCCTGAGTTCATCTTGGAGCCATCAGTATACCAGATCAGGCTGTCTTGTTGACGTTTTGGTCCTCTTTTCCAGTCTTCCCTTGTTGGTATAGACACTTTAAAATCCTTGCTAAACATGTACCTAGGCTGCATTGTATCACAACCCATGTCCATTATTGCATCTAATTGAGGATCACTCCCCATCCTTGTGTGCTTGGTGCAAGGTTTGGATGTACTCCAAAGTCCCGCCCCCTTCAGTCTGTGCAGCGCCTTCCTTGCATCTACTTCTAGCGCCAAGTGCAGTGGGGGCAATCCCAGAATAATCTCCAATGCTGCAGTTGGCGTAGTTCTAAACGCACTCGTTATTGCTAGGCATGCAGTTCTTTGCAATTTGCCCAGTGCCGTTCTGCACGTCTGTAACCTAATTCTAGGCCACCAGACAATGCTGCCATAAAGTATTATTGGTCTCACCATAGTTATATAGATCCACCTCATCACTCTGGGACTAAGTCCCCATGTCTTCCCGTATGCACCACGACACATTCCCAGCACTCTCATAGCCTTAGCTATGACCGTATCTTGGTGTTTACGCCATGTAAGTTCCTTATCTAGGATTACCCCTAGATATTTCACTTCATTGGTCCAGGTTATCTGCTTACCATAAAGGTAGAGATGTCCTAGCCCTGTTGTATTTCTCATTTTTGTAAATGCAATAGCATTCGTTTTTCCCGGATTCACCGAGAGGTGGTTTTTGTCACACCACTCTTCCAGTGTGTTGAGGGCTCTTTGCATGATGTCTGTCACAATAGTTGGGAACTTGCCCCTTACCATAATTACCAAATCATCTGCATATCCAACCGTGTAGAGTGGTCCTTTGTTAAGTTTCACAAGTAGTGAGTCCACGACCAGGCTCCATAGCAAGGGTGAGAGTACCCCCCCTTGCGGGCAGCCCTTGACAGTCCTTACACTCATGCACTCTCCTTGCAGTTCTGATTGAATAATCCTGCCTTTAAGCATACAGTCTATCCACCGGCATAGAGGTAGTGGTACCCCGTGGTCAGAAGCAGCAGCTCCTATAGAGACGAAGGTAGTGCGGTCAAATGCCCCCTCTATGTCGACAAATGTCCCAACAGTAACCTCCCTACTCTCAAGAGCCGCCTCCGCCCTGCCGGTTACATAGTGTAGCGCAGTTTCTGTAGATTTCCCTGCCTGGTATGCACATTGTAGCTCATGTAGAGGAAATCTTTTTAGTGGTCCTTGTCTTATGTACTTATCTACAAGTTTTTCAAGCGATTTGAGAAGAAAAGATTGTAGACTTATTGGCCTATATGCCTTAGGGTCGTTGTAATCCGGTCTACCTGGTTTAGGTATAAAGATCACTTTGACTTCTCTCCATACCTTAGGTATGTATCCAAATGCTATGCAGGCTTTGTATAACCTGCATAGATGAGGATTCAGAATGGAGATTCCTTGCTGCAAGAGAATTGGGTAGATCGAATCTGGGCCTGGTGCCTTGTATGGTTCAAAGCTCCCGATTGCCCATCTCACCTTAGTCTCATCCACTACTCTTTTAGCCGTAACCCAGTCGAGCTTGTTTGTTGTTCTATTTTGTTCCTCCACGCTGATTGGATCTTGATCATCGTTTAGGACCTGTGATTCAGGAAAGTGCGTTGCTATCATTGTTTTCAACGTATCTTTGCCTGCTTCCGTATATCCCCCCCTCTCACTCCATACTGTAGTGAGTGGGTTCGCTTTGGTTGTTGACATGGCCTTTGTCAGTCTCATGCCCTCGGGAACTGAGTTGATCATCTCACAATGATCCCTCCATGCCTTCCTCTTTGCCTTTCGCACCGCTTTGCTATAC